GAACTAACCTAGATACCTTAGGGCTATCTTAACTTAAAGCAGAAGTCAAAAAATGTATTTGTAAAATAAAACTTAATATGCATTGCTTTGGAGAAGTGGTTTTGCTTTTGTTTCTACAGGAAACAAGAGGCTGTGGATTTGTTCCAGGTTAATATGGATCAAGTTTGATCAAGGGAGACCTCCTGAACCTTGACAGGTGATATCTATCAGCAAAGGTTACCTCTGGTCTTCCAGGACTTGGCCATTATCTCAAATTTTCTAAGGGACCCTAAAGATGCCTTTGCCCACAGACAGAACATGATGCTCACATTCCCAAGAGGGGTGTGGGAGACTTTTGGCTATTTGGTAGGCTATGGATGTTTGCTATATTTAGGGGAAGATAGGAATATAGGATAAAAAGACAACTAGTAATCTCAGATATTTTGCATTGGCATGGATTTTGGTATATTGATACAAATTTAATGTTAATTTTGTTCTACTGTTGTTGCTGGAGGGCTTCTCTCCAGGTTCCCCAAGCCCTGCAGTCCCACAATCCACGTATAAAATAATCACTCAGACGCTTGTATTACTTATAAACTGTATGGCCGTGGCAGGCTTCTTGCTAACTGTTCTTTTATCTTAAATTAACCCATTTCTATAAATCTACACCTTGCCACATGGCTGGTGGCTTACCAGTGTCTTTACATGCTGCTTGTCCTGGTGGTGGCTGCAGTGTCTCTCCCCCTTCTTCCTGTTTCCCCAATTCTCCTCTCTCCTTGTCCCGCCTATACTTCCTGTTTGGTCACTGGCCATCAGTGTTTTATTTATATAGAATGATATCCACAGCACACTGTACATATATTTCTACTTTTGTTTTGGGTATTGTACTTATGCAGTTCATTTAAAAATGCAATGTATAAGTAAGAAATGTGGTTAGTTAATGTATAATAATTAAACTTGTAGTAATTAGGTATGCTTTCAAGGTTAAATAGATATATTTTAGATTAAATGGTCTTCAAATACTTTAAAGACCTATAGAATATGGCATTTACAATGTTTTGTTAACATAAGGTTTTCATGACAATGAGACATATCTGCTCCTGGCACCACAAATTTATTTCAGAGATTATGCGCATTGAAGAAACTCCTTGTGGAGTTTGCTTTCATTGTGGCAAGGTTAGACACTAGGCAAAGAAACTGCTCTTGCCTTTGACTGCTGACAATGTGCTCTGTAGACTGGACATGCAGGACACACAGGAAAAAGACTTTTGAACATTGACAAAACAAGGCAGGACAGTCCTTCAAAATTCCTGCTTCACAGAAGAGTCTGCCAGATATTCTGCAGGACACAGAGGAAAGTAACTGACGAACTTTACAAATACAAGGTGGGATAGTGCTTCAAATTTCCTGCTTCACTGAAAAGTCTGCCAAATACACTAGGCCTGTAGGCTGAAGATGAGTTCTCCAAAGTTGCAGAGAAACTTTGGGTGACTGTCTAGGCAGCCAAATGTCTCTGTTGTTAGGTAATATTACATCCTTCTGGATATTTGATGGAGTTAAAGACTAAATTAGTTATATTTTCCTTAATTATGATAGAAAGTAAGTTAGGTATAAAATTTTGGACTAAGATAAGATATATAATGGAGTAGTTTAAATGTGGTAAATATAAATGGACTGAATATTATAAATTAATTCTTGATAACTGTTTTTGTTTATGTAGTTCTATTATATTAAAGTTAAAACCTTTCATTTTTATTTAGACTAAAAGGGGGAAATGTGGAATATTATTTTAAGGTGTGTTACATTTGTTTATGCTGGGGAACATTTGTTTAGTGATGCAAAGATGTGTTTCATTCTTTTATGTTGCCATTTGTTTAACCTTGTGAAGTGTTACTTTGTGTTATTTTGCCTGTCTAAAACACCTGATTGGTCTAATAAAGAGCTGAATGGTCAATAGCGAAGCAGGAGGAAGGATATGCAGGGCTGGCAGACAGAAAGAATAAATAGGAGAAATCTGGGAGGAAAAGAAGTAGGAACAAGAGAACAAGGATGTCAAGGGCCAGCCACCCAGCCACATTGTAAGAGTAAGATTTACAGAAGTAAAAGAAAGGTAAAAACCCAGAGGCAAAAGGTAGACATGATAATTTAAAGTTAAGAAAAGCTGGCTAGCAACAAGCCAATCTAAGGCTGGGCATTTATAATTAAGAACAAGCCTCAGTGTGTAATTTATTTGGGAGCTGGGTGGCAGGCCCCTCCAAGAGAGTAAAGAGAAAAAGCAATAACATCTCTCACTATGTTACAGGTGTGAAATCATCCTGTCTTTTCCTCCCATCTCTTGTAGGAATGCTGAGATTAGAGATGAGCCACCATATCCAGTCCTTTTTGTGGGTTAGAGAGACTAAACTCATGTCATCAAGCCTATGCAGCAAATGCTTTTATCTGCTAAGCTACCTCACTGGAGAGATCTTAAATGTTCTCCAAAGACCCATATTTAAAAGTTTGGTCATCATCTTGGTGCTGTTAGGATGCAGTGAAGCCTTTAGAAGGAACCTAGTGGGGAGGGCTTTGTGTCATCAGGAATATGTCCCCCAGGGGAGTGAGAGACCTTTGTTGCTTGCTGCTTCTTTCTGGCTAAGAGGTAACTGTCTTTGTCCTACCATGCACTTCCCATCATTGCCATCTTGGACCCACAACAGAAGCCTACAAGCAATGGGTCTCTACCTACCTGATCATGGACTGGAAAATCTAAACCCATGAGCTAAAAGACCTTTCTCTTTTTACCAGTTGATTACTTCAGGTATTTGTTACTGGGGTAGATAATTGAGTAATAAACGGACATTATAAATATCTGTTAAAGATGGTGGTGGTGATCAGCAAGATGGTCCAGGGTGTAACGCAGTTGCTGACAAGACTGACAAGGTGAGTTTGATCTCTGGGACCCACATGGTGGAAGGACAGACTTCCTCAAGTTGTCTTCTGACCTCCACGTGCATGCCATGTCACATGTGTGTGCCACCCCCCCAAATATATGTAATTGAATTTCTAAAAAAAGTATTAGTGGTTGTGGGGAGGAAAGTAGGAAGGATGAGAATTCCAATTCCAATGTCAATCATTTGTTGTTTCTTGCTATTTCCAAATACTTCTCTCCAATCTATTGATTAATATTTACAGATATATTAAGATATAATTCACATCTTATATTGCTCACTCATTTCAAGTACACATTTAATGGGTTTTGCTATATTACACTGCTAATCTAAAAAGTTGTGATAAACTATACACCACACAAAAGTGTAAACTTTCAGTATTTACAAATGTGTGACTGACATCACTCACAGTTATGCAACCATTACCAATACGTGTTCACAAACTTTTTCATGAACTTGAACTAACATTCTTCAGCTACAAGTGACTGCCCAATCCCCTTCCACGACTCAACTCTCAGCTCTAGGTACATGACCACAGTACATCAGTCCTTTCTGCTGGCTTTCGTTTTGCATACGTAATCTTTTCAAGGTCAATCTGTGGTACAGCATGTGCCAGAACCTCATCCCTATATGTGGTGGGGTAACACTGCACTGTATGTATACAAAACATTTTGTGTTTCTACTTATCTTTTGATGGACACTAGAGTGTTTACATTTATTGCCTAAATGTACGATGATTATCAGCATGTAATTGTTTATTTAAATTCCTAGGAGTATGCTGGTTTTTATTTTTGAGCTCAACGTGACACAAACTAGGATTATCTGAGGAGAGGGAACCTCAATTGAGAAAGTGCTGGGATAAGATTGGTCTGCAGGCGAGTCTGTGGAGGCATTTTCTTGATTAAGATCAGTGTGGGCGGGCCCAGCCCACTGGGGGGAGTGCCACCCTTGGGCAGGTGGTCTCAGGTGGTATAAGAAAGCAGACCCAGTAAACGGCATGCTTCCACGGCCACTGTCTCCGTTTCTGCCTCCAGGTTCCTGCCCTAACTTTCTTCATGATGGACTGTGATCAGGAGATGTAGGCTGAAGTAACGCTTTCCCTCCCAAGTTGATTTTAGTCATGATGTTTGTCATAGCAACAGAAAACAAACCAGAACAAAAATTGGTACCAGGATCACAGGGGACTGCTCTGACAGACCTGACCAGGATCACGGGGGATTGCTCTGACAGACCTGACCAGGATCACGGGGGATTGCTCTGACAGACCTGACCAGGATCACGGGGGACTGCTCTGACAGACCTGACCAGGATCACGGGGGACTGCTCTGACAGACCTGACCAGGATCACGGGGGACTGCTCTGACAGACCTGACCATGTTGTTTTGAGGAGGACTGTGAAAGAAATTTGGAATTCTGGGCTAGAAAATAGTTCAGCGTCCAGAGCTCAATGAGCTGTCATGGGAGCATTGAAGATAGGAATATGTGGACATGTAGTTTCCCTAGCATATTTTGTTGAAAACCAAGTTCTTTTACTTAATGTTCTGGGTGCCTTGTGGAAAGCCGTCTCGTCACATCTGTGAGGCGTCTCTGCTGTCGTCCATTGGTCTGGCAGGTGTGTACAATCTTTAGGTTGAGACACATCATTGTCACCACGTCCTTTGGTCCCACCACACAGGAGGCAGAGGCAGGTGGATCTCTAATTCAGGGGCATCCTGGACTACGTATCAAGGTCTAGGACAGGCAGGGTAACATAGGAAGACCCTTTCTCAAAACAACCCAAGTGCCCAACTACAACAAGCCCACAAAAAACTCGTAACATTTTGTGATCTTTGTGTTGTGGTGACACCGTTTTTGGTGAGACACGGACAAATGTGCTCACCGGACAAAGGACAGGGTGCTGGGGAGATGACTCAAAAGTTAAAGCACCTGTGTTCTTGCTGAGGACCTGGGTTTTGGTTCCCAGCACCCACATGGCGGCTCGCAACATCCACAGGTACACAAGGTGCACACAGTGTAGGTAAAACATCTACACACATGAAATAAATAAATAAATAAAAAAAACAGACCACAGTAACAGTGTCATACCAGTCCAGCTTGATGAAGTAATGGGTTTATTGGGGTTGTACTTCAGGAACATGGGGGAGGGGTTACAGGAGCAGGGGCTTCCACATACATGTACATGCCCACCTGTACACACATACATAAACATGTACATACATCTCCCCTTAACATGATTTCATATTGATTTTATTGCCTACTATTTTATAGTGCCATCTTGAATGTTTCCCACAACCCAATATATCTTATAAGACTTTGATCTTATGGTGTGTGTGTGTGTGTGTGTGTGTGTGTGTGTGTGTGTGTGTGTTTAGGAAAGTGTGGTACTCAGCTGTGTCCCATGCAGGCTGAGCCCCCAAACCCATGTGTTTGGGAGAGGGTAATGCATTTATATCTCAAAAGCATGGACAATTTAAAAGAAAGCATATTTTCCTTGTAACAATGTACATACTTTATCCTGCTTCCAGACAAGACACTGTCACATGTTATTTTCAAGGCAGGGAACACACTGCTAAGGAACAGTCACACAGGACAGGACACGGCGAAGAGAAACTGGAGCAAGCGTTTGACTGCATTTACTCCCCGGGAACCCACAGCTTCTGGCATCCATCCCTGTCTTGAGAACTAAGTCCCTTTCCCTGGGGCACTTGATTAGCCTTCTAGAGAGCATTTCACATCCTCATGTCTGAGCTCCGTGATGACCTAGAGCGTGCAGCCTACAAAGCATCGCTCTGCATACAGGCCTCTGACAATGCAGTGTGTGTTTGGAGAGGGACCCTTTGTTCTTTTTACCAAGAACTGGCTGAGTCAGAGCTGGGGACTTGGCGTATCTGGTGAGGGCACTTGACGCCAAAGCTCACGACCCAAGTTCAATCTCCGGGACTCCCAGGTAGAAGGAGAGAATGGCTCCCACAGGCTGGCCTCTGGCTTCCACATGCACACCGTGGCACACACTTATTCCCCCGCCCTCCCAATTTCCTGAATCAGAAAATGAGTACATGGCATCTTTACAAAGCAACTCAATGAAGACTTAGAGAAAAACAGTTCATTCTTTGAGAAAATGTCACAAATTCTGGCACCTCAAACGATGTAATTGCTACTCATCTCTTCCTTAAAAGGGGCCCTTTCCAGCTTGTTTCCAGGCTTCCTTGACACCCTTGATGCTTTCCTTCTTCACGCATTTCCAGTATTCTTGCACGCTCTGCTGCTGCGGCACCTGTTAGCCGAGAGAAGACCAGCAGTCACTGGAATCAGGCTAGACAAGGTCTCCTGTCTTATGGTCCTGCTCATTGCCTTTCCAAACTTCTTAAAAAAAGCTGAGTATGGGCATGGCCTCCTGTCTTTTTTGTTTTTTGTTTTTTTTTCAAGACAAGGTTTCTCTGTGTAGCTTTGGTGCCTGTCCTGGATCTTGCTCTGTAGCCCAGGCTGGCCTCGAACTCACAGAGATCCGCCTGGCTCTGCCTCCTGAGTGCTGGGATTAAAGGCGTGTGCCACCACTGCCCAGCATGGTCTCCTGTCTTATGGTTCTGCTCCCTGCCTTTCCATACTTCTTAAAGCTGAGGGTGGGCTATGTTGTCAAATGCATGTAATGAAGACCATATTTATTAATTTCCCTCAGATTACTTGTGCTGTGGGAATCGGGATCTCTTTTCTAAATTGTAAATGAATAATCTTATGCATCAATTCTCTATTATCCCTCTTTCCTGGCTCTCTTCCTAACTGTGTACTTACTGTCTGTGGAGACGCTTTAGACCCAAGTTATAATGCAAATTTCTTTCACGAGAGCACATCTTGTAGATGCTAATGCAAACAAAATTCTGGGCTTTATTTGTCCTCTAGTCAGAGTCCAGCACATGACTATGAGCAACCATGACAAGTATTGAGAGTTCTGCATGCTTTATATTTAGTCCCCAGTATAGCTATTGTTGGTAAATCTTTTAGTTTTCTTACTTATATAGATGAGGTATCTGAGGCACAGAAAAACTAAGTGGCTTTTCAAGATTCATCAGTTAATACAATACAGAGCAGGATTTGAACCTAATGATCCAAGGTCAGTTCCATAGTCAGATCTAAGGTCAGATCCAAAGTCAGACTCCAGGTTAGATCTAAGGCTGTGATTTCTGAAGAGTGGTTTTTCTACTAGATTCAGGTTTGTGTGTGTGTGCGCATGTGCACATTCAAATATACAAGTGTATGTGCAAGCATGTACTATGACCGAGGTCCGAAGATAGCCTTGGGTGTTATTCACTGGCCTGAAGCTCAAAAAGTAGGCTAGTCTGGCTAGCTAGCAAAACCCTCAGAACTGCCTATCTCGGCCTCCCCAGAAATGAGATTACAAGCACATGCCACTGTGCCTGGCATTTATATGGTTTCTGGGGACTGAACCCAGGTACTTACTAACTGAACCATTTCCCCAGACTCAGGTTATTTTTAAAGCAAAGAAAATGCTAAATATCATTCTTTGTAAAAGACAGCTCAGTGTTTTGGTTGTAGTTTATAGTTTCTGTATAAATGATTAAGATTCTACTTAACGTATTACATTTGTCCTAAATCCTAGGTTTAATACCATTGTCACTAACATGTAAAAACACAGGTTTAAAAAAAGAAAACAAGAAATAAACTAAAAATCTGTTACCCATAAACCTCGATGCATCCTATTTTTCAATACTCCAAGAAACTCCCCGTGGCTTAGGCACTCATCACCGTCCAAGTCAAAGATCTTGAAGACAGTGTCCAGAATATTGTTTGAGAGTTCTTGTCCAGTTGCTACTTTCACAGCTCTCTTAAACTCCGCTGAGAAGCAAAACAAGAGACTGCCAATCAACCAGGTAAATTAGTTTAAGTGACGTAACCCACAGTGCCATGATTTGAGAGGTGTATTCAAATCATGCGTTTGGTTGAGAAATGCCATGAGAGTAAAGCAGGCCGTTTCCAATGAATCGAGGCTCCTAGTAACACAGTCAATTCCACTCCCTTCCCTCTTCCCCCTTCCTAAGAGTAAGAAAATAAAAGCAAATAAAGTAACTCTTGAGTAAGTGTGCTGGTGCTACGAACTGAGAATAACCAAGATGCATTATTTTACTGCTGGCTAATCATCTCCTTATCGGTATCATCTACTGAATGGTGAAACTACTTACAGACAATAAAAATTAAATAATCCACATCTTACCCAGTCTCACAGGGCGATGAGCTAAGCTAAACATTTGCATGGCGATAGCAAAGTCTTCCAAATGCGTTGTAAAATGGCAAAATGACTTGAACTCATCCAAACTAATGCTCTAATAAAAAGAAAGTTTTTTTAAATTACAATTTTGTATATACATCAAAATCTTATTGATGTTAAGTCTTCTATCCTAAAGCTTATTGAACTTCGATCTCTCTAAGCAAGTTGATGAAATGTTAAACAGGATAAGAACGGATACTAGATTCTCAGCTGAGGAAGGTCCATGAGAGCAAGGGTATCACGTGCTGTGTGGACCGCGTTCTCTTGACCAGCTCTGGTTTCCTCCTTAGGCTCATTCTGAAGTTCTAACCCCCTCATAAGGAGGCTGCGGTCACGGGAGGGTTGCAGCCTGCAAGGCTGATGTCTGAGGGAATACTCATTAGTGCCCATTGCCGCTCTGGTTCCCGTTCTCCCTACGTACATGTGCACACCCCCCCAAAGAGCAGTCGTGACGACACAGACGACACCGTGTGGAAGCTGAGAGGAATTTCACCACGAAACCAGTTCAAACCCAGCCTTGCTGGCATTTGATCTTTGACGCCACATCTCCAGAACACAGAGAAGACAGGTTTTTGTACTTTGTGACCGCGGCCAAGGAGACTATCACAGCCTGTTCAGTGGGCCACTCCTACTTAACTGGTGTACAGGCACTGAGCAAGGTGGCCTATGCTGAAACTTCAGCTCTGCCATCCTTCAATTGCCATCCATGATGTGTGTGACCTTAGCCTAAATCTCAGGCAGGCGCCTCTTAGGTTCCTTTGTCCAAAGTCTATGGATTAGAACATGAGATATGAACTCTCGTCTATCTGATTTCAGTATCTATGTACTTAAAAACAAACAAAACCTAAGTTAAAAAGCTACTTTTTCCAGTAAAATGAAATCAGAGAGGGGCTGGAGAGATGACCCTTCCAGAGGTCCGGAGTTCAATTCCCAGCACCCACATGGTGGCTCACAACCATCTATAGTGGGATCTGATGCCCTCTTCTGTTATAAAGCCATACACTAGATAGAGCACTCATACATAAAATAAATAAATCTTAAATAAAAAACAAAACCTCAGAAAACTCTTCTCCTCCTTCAACTGATGATGCCTGGATTGATCTCAAACTCATTATCCCCCTTGCCTTGATCTCCAGAGTAGCTGGATTATAGGTCACGCCGGCCGAGTCACAGTGTGAAAGTTCTCAATCTTAAAGAAATTCTTCCAGATCTTATCTCTGCAGGGCCTTTTAGGACCCGCCCTCTGTCCACACATGATCTATGCAAGTCTCACTGCTTTCAGCTTTTGTGGGCCTTTGTGGAATAATTAAAGTTTTATTTGTAAAAACTACAACAAAATTAAAAAGTTTATTGTTTTCCTTGTGTGTATGAGTGTTGTCTGTGTACCACGTACACGCCTGCTGCCCATGGAGGCCAGAGAAAGCTCAAGCTCCCTAGACGGAGTTACAGTTGTGAGCCACCATGTGGGGGGTTGGAATCAAACTGGGTCCTCTGCAAGAGCAGCCAGTGCTCTTAACCACTGAGCCACCTCTCCAGTCCCAACAACAACAACAACAAACTGTGAAGAATATAGGACCAAGGTTAAAAAAACGTCAGCAGTGTGAAGGGTAAGGAGCCTTCCTTCCTCCTCCGACCCCTCTTCTGACCTCACCGCAAAGGCATGGGCAGCACCTGTACGCATCCAGAAACACACAGCTCCTACAAAAGCAGCTGTGCACCCCACAACACAGACTGCCTGCCGACTCGGGAACCACCTTCTCACGCGTTTCTGCACCCCACCTTTTTCTTTTTCACAGGGAATTTGTCAGCACAGTTGTGAACAGGGGCCATTTCTCTGTATATCTTATCAGGATCTTAAAACAGGCACGGAGTGCAGCCATTCCAATGCCCACTTCCCTTTCCATCATGCTGAGGCCTGCACTCAGGACCCTGTGCATGCAAGGCTTTTCCACAGGGGTAAATGGCACCTCATTCCCATCTGTTTTATACTGTTCATATGAGATTTTTCTTCTCGTGACTTTATGTCCTGTCCTGGTGACGGTTATCATTGCTGTGATGAAACACCATGACCAAAACAACTTGGAGAGGAAAGGGTTTATTTGGCTTACACATTTATATCACTGTTCATCACTGAGGGAAATCAGGTCAGGAACTCAAGCAGGGCAGGACCCTGGAAGCAGAAGCTGATGCAGACAGAGGCCATGGAGGGAGCTGCTTACTGACTTGCTCAGCCTGCTTTCTTATGGAACCCAAGGCCACCAGCTCAGGAGTGTCCCCACCTGCACAGGTACCCTAACTATACAGTGTTTTCCTCAGACAGAGGACTGCTTTGCTTATTGCCAGTATAATAACAACCAGGTCTCCTTCTGCAGAGAGGTCAGGAAACCTTGCTTCCAGCCTCTTCTGAAGGACTGATGTGTTTGGATGATCTCCTGCATGGTAGCTTTCCTCAGGGACTCTCTGGCCTCTTCTGAAGAAGGACTGATGTGTTTGACTGTGGATGATCTCCTGCACGGTAGCTCTCCTCAGGGACTCTCCCAATCACTGTTAGGGCTTTGGGCAGTAAGGGTAAATTAACACAAACAAGATGCTCACCCTCGTGCTGTCAGTAATGGTTGTTTTGTTTTGTTTTATTTATTTATTTATTTTTTTTGTTCTTTGACCCAATAATCTTGTATCTTCTGTAAGCATCCATTAAATTGTGCAGGGTAATTTGGAAACATAAAAATTTCAGATACTTTGTAGTAGTTGACAGACTGATTTTTTAAATTCTCATATAAACAGAGAAGTCTCAGATCCTTCTGAGTGTTTGAGAGTCATGGGTTTTAAGAGTCCACTATGTGCTAATTAGCTTCAGCTGTCAACCTGACAGGGCCCAGGAGGAGCATTTCTAAGTAACACACTTGTTTCCTATTCAATACCAGCGGCAGCTCTAAAACCAGCTGTTTCCTTGTATCTAATCAGGTTGTAAACATCTCTCTCCTTTTTAAAAATTTTTTTAATTTGGGGGTTTTTTGAGACAGAGTTTCTCCTTGTAGACCAGGCTGGCCTCAAACTCAAGATCTATCTGCCTCGGCTCTGGAGTACTGGAACTAAAGGCGCGTGTCACCACTGTAAATGTTTCTTCACTTTAAAAATTAAATTCTTTTTTAATTATGTATTTCCATTTCAATAATTAATGTATTGCCCATCTAGGCACGGTGGCATACAGGAGGCTGAGGCAGGAGAATTACAAATACTGGATAACCTTGAGAGAGGGAGAAAAGGGATCACTTGTATGTTTTTTTTTTTTTTTTTTTTTTTTTTTTAATGACAGGCTTTTTCTGTTTAGCCCTGGCTATCCTGGAACTTGATTGCAAATCAAGCTGGCCTGGAACATGCTCTGTAGACCAGGCTGATCTGGAACCCACAGAGATCCACCTGCCTCTGCCCTCGGAGTACTAAGATTAAAGTTGTGTGCCACCATGCCTGGATCACACATTTTATCTTTTCCCCTTTGTTAGAAGTAGCTCTAAAGGCTGGAGAGATGGCCTAGCAGGTACTACTATTGGCTGCTCTTACACAGGGCCAGATTCCATTCCCAACACCTAGAGTGGGTTGCCAACTCCTGTAACTCCAGTTCCAGAGGATCTGACACCTTCTTCTGGCCTTCATGAGCATCACATATATACAAACACACATGGACACACATTAAAAAAAAAAAGAAAGGGGTTCATAATTTAAAAAATAGAAATAGTTTTTAAGACCTTATATAAAAATACTTGTTCACGCCAAAACCATTTTGCTTACATAAAATTACAAAGGAAGAAAAAACTGTGTTGACAAATGCCTGGGGTTGCAGCTCCTTGGGAAGCAGAGGTGAAAGACCATCTGAGCTTCCAAGTTTAAGATCAGTCCCTGCAATATGGCTAGGCACAGATTCAAAACAAGCAGAAATATAACAAACAAACAAACAAACAATCCCTTGAAATTTCACTACTGGACAGAGGTCTGAACGAGAAGGGCATCCATGGCTCACAGCTCACATGCTTGACTACCTGGTCCCCAGCTGGTAGAACTGTGTGAGAAGCATTAGGAGGAGTGGCCTTGTCGGAGGACAAGTGGTATGTCACACTTTGAGGTTTCAAAAGACTTATGTCGTTCCCAGAGTCTCTCTCTCTCTCTCTCTGCCTCTAACTTGTGGCTTAAGATGTGAGCTCTCAGCTGTTCCGGCCACCATACCTTTGCTATGTCACCATGGACTCCAACCCTGACACTGGGAGCCCAAGTTAAATGTTCTCTTTTGGAAGTTGTGTTTAGTCATGGCGTTTTATTACAGCAACAGGAAGTAACTCAGACACGTGTAAAAGCCATGATTGCTAGTTTGGTGATTGTCATTTTGTATCTCACACACACATCACACTTTCTCACTTAAAATGTGTACACAGGACAGCCACTTCTACTATACTGATGACACAACAGGCACTTCACTGAATTCATATTGTTCCTAGTGGTTTTCGAGTGGGTTCTGCTGGGCTCGCTGGCTACAGAGTCAAAGCCAAAGCCTATGTAAACAGAGACAACCACGGCCCCCTTTCAAAGTTTCACCATCTTTGGTGAAACAAACAACCTTGCTCCTTTTCACTGGCTAGGCTCTCCAGAGCAGCAGTCAGCACTGGGGAGAGCCTTGTCTCACGGCGGAGCTGCAGGCTCACAGAGGCTGTCCTCTGTGTCGGAGGCAGCTCACGACGGGGAGATCATACCCAGAAGATGTCCCTGACCAGTTTCAGGCTTCAGTAACAGGAGCACTGTCTCAAGTAATTCAGAAGTTACTTTCCTCGGTTATATGAACTTCTAGTTTCATTTCTATCCCGTGTATGAGAATAAGGCATACCGACCTCTCCTACGGACAGCTTTTCTCTCACGTTTTTCCAGTAGATGTCTTTGTTTTCAGTGTTAGTGAAGAAGAGGAGCCACTCCGCAAAGTCTTCCTTTCTCATGAAATTCAGACCCTTAGAAAACTGAAGGAATTCCATTTCTTGAACTTCTGTTTGTAAATTTTCCATAAATCTAGATATTAAAATACAAAATTGGTATAATCAGCTAGTGGCATCCCACCCAATATTGTAAGTGGGGCTTCAAGGCATCTCTCCCCCCACCAAGTGGCTGGCCTCTGGCAGGAGAGCATAAGGAAGCATCGGGGCTGTGTCGGGGTGCGGAGAGAGCAGCCAGGGAAGCTGGTGAAGTTCAACAGTCCAGAATGTCTGTGCACATTACACCTGGCAACCTAAGCTGGGATCAATGTGAAGGCATAAAAGTTATGCAAAATGTTGCTTTAATAGATCCACAGAAACTAACATCCTGTGGAAAGCATTTTTTCTAATGTAGAAACATCAATAACTGGAAAAATTAAAGTTTAAGAGAGGACATTCCTTTTAGCTTAATAATGAATGGACACCAACACAGGGACAATGACTTTGTATCAGAAGCTTAGGTCTACATTATCTGAGTTATCAGGGCAAAAGTGTGAAAGTCTACAACTCCACAAGCCTTTTCTTTTCTTTTTCATAAAAACAGCCTGGCACTTTGAGCAAAGTCACACCAACAGCTTCCTAGGAAGGTACAGGTTGAATAGATCAAACTTTTACTTTATTGAACAAGAACCTAGAAGAGTTGCACTAGGGATTATTACCCAAGTCAAGTGAAAGCCATTCTGAGCATCCTGTTTTCATGTGTTGCAATCTCCTTTAAAATAATTTTTATTTGTGTGTGTGTCATACCACAGTTTGAAATGGGTGGAATAGATACATGGGATAAAAAAAGACATCTTCAGTCCAGTGGGAGAAAGCACCATTGTTAACAGCTGGCTTTAGGGTCTGCATTTCTCCTGTAAACTTCCAAGTGTGGAGGGAGCATGGGCGTAGGCATCTACCTCTGTGATGAGCACCTGTCACCCACAACATTAGCTGGACGTACCAGAAGCACAGATTTTTTTTGATACTATGCTTCTTTATGGGTCAAAGCAGAATTCTGTCTAAAACTGAATGTGTTCTGGGTTGAACTTACGGGTTAGAGATATTTTACTGATATAATTTGCATCTTGTTTTACTGAGTTTTATTGTATTGTGTACTATGATAATATTCAATGATTCTTTTTTTGTGTTATTGTGTGCATGTACTTTATTGTGTGTATATGGATGCATTTGTGGTAGTGTGTGTGTTGGTGTGTGTATGTGTTTGAGTGCATGTATGAGTGCTGTATGTGTTAGTGTGCATGTATGGATGCATGTGTGATAGTGTGTGTGTTTCAATGTTTGTGAAGGTTATAGATTGAAGCCTGTCATCTTCCTCCATCACTTTTCCACCTTCTTTTTTGAGACAGGGTCTGTCACTGCTGATTGGTAGATCTGGCTGGCCAGCAAGCTCCAGGGAGCCTTCTGTTTCTGCCTCCCCAGCCCTTGGGTTACAGGCATGTGCAGCCGCATCTGTTTCTTCATCAGGGCCTTGTGTTTACAGAACAAGCACTTCACAGACTGACCTGCCTTGGGATCATTACAGAATCTCTACCTGGAGATGAGTGAGTGTGTAGCAAACGAAGAGATGTGCACACAGAGCTGTGCTGTTCTTCTCACCTTCTGTCTTCTGACATAGGAGGAAGGTGCTAAGAGATCAGTAGGCTGACTGAAGAAACGGAGCAAGAGGCAAAGAACTGTGCTGGGTTGCCGCAGCACTGGAGGAAGTGAGGAACCAAGAGATCATGAGAAGGGAATTAACGGTATTTGGTGACCAACTGGACAGAGAAGGAAGAGAAAGCAGAGGTGCCGCCTCGTCTGAATGGCACTGACTACGGTTATGAAAGGGAAGAACACGTATCTCTTCTCACTTCAGCTTCCTTGCAATGCCAAGGGCCTTTTAAAAGAAAACCATCTGAGAAACATACATGAGAACCTGTATAACTTCATGGGCCACACACCTTCATGGGGATCTCCCCTTATCTACTCCCAACTTCCCACATGGGGTAAAATCACCTCTTCACTGACAGAAGCACTTAGTGCAATGCATCTGAATGGTGTGCGTGTTGTCACATAGCTTGCAAAAGGGACTAGTGTTTGAGACACGGCCTGACATACAACAGCATGTGTACACACACACACACACACACACACACACTAAATCGTAGAAGAAATGCAGTGAGCAAGCCCTCTGCCTTCCAGATCAGTATTTTTCTGGTGTTCTGATCTGCTGCTTTCTAGTACCCGTTGAGAGACTATTCCAGAGAGCACTACAGGGAGGCCCTGGGAGGAGGTAATGGGGCTCCACTGTGTTAATGTCAGCAGAAACCAGATACTCTATTGGCCCAATTTTACAAAGAAACGAATTCAGGGAAGTTAAGCGAACTGCTCAAAGTCAGTGTTAGCATAAAGCTTTATCTGAGACATGGAGCTGCCTGCTTCCTAATGCACTGTTCCAGCTGCTTGCATAATACAGCTGTTGGGTTATACAGATTATGCTGGGCCTCTACAGAAGAGGCCTGTGTAGACCAGAGCTGAGTCCCCACATCTCAGAACAGCTTCAGTGCACAGTAACTCCGGCTGAGATCAGCCAGTGCTGGCCACAGCAGAGCTGCACTCAGGAACACAGCGCATGGACTTGTTTTACCTTCAATGTGGCTGGTTGTTTTTTGTGTTAAGAACAAAATTGCTGGGCAGTGGTGGAGCACGCCTTTAATCCCAGCACTTGGGAGGAAGAGTCAGGCAGATCTCTGTGAGTTCAAGGCCAGCCTGGTCTACAGAGTGACAGCCAGGAGTGTAGGGAAAAGGGGCTGGCTAAAGAAACCCACCCTGACCCTGGAGCCCAGAACTAGGGAAAGATGGCTCAGATAAGACCCGTGAAAGAAACACAGTTTGGTTCAAATCAGAGCCATCTCTGCCCCTGGCTAACTGACTTGTGAAATCAACCAATCACAGAGCAGGACAGTAGAACCCTGGCCCTGGGGCCCAGGACCAGGGAAAGAATACAGCCTGGGTTTGGGACCTGAGCCACAGAAATTAACACTTTATCCCCAAACCCAGAGCCCAGGAAACATGCCCTGACTCTTAAACTAGTGCCAAAGAAACACTCCTGGTCCCCAGAGTCAGAGTCAGTGAAAGAAATGTACCCTGGCCTTAGAATTAGTGTCAAAAAGCTAAGTAAGGACAGTAAAAGAAACACAGTTTGGCTCCGTTCAGAGCCATCTCTGCCCCTGGCCAACTGACTTGTGAAACCAACCAATCACAGAGCAGGACAGTAGAACCCTGGGCCTTGACTCCGTCCCCAAGGCATCCTATACAAACTGCCCTGTCTGATCAGTTAAAAAGAGCTGTTCCTGGTAGAGGCAGCTACTCTCCTGGACTCCTCCTTCCCAAATAAGCCTCTTTCTCAAAAGAGTTTTGGTTGTGAAAATCTTCATTCACTGGCATAGAGAAGATCCTCGCTGAGACATCCCTTAGTGGATAGAACAAGGAGGAGCTGAACAGAAGATCCTTGCTGAGATGTTCCCTCAGTGGATAGAGCAAGAGAGAGCTGAAAAAGTAACACTTTTCTCCAGAGCCGGAGGAGATCTTTTTGCAGAGCGAAGCAAAAGAAGCAACATCTTAGGCCAGAGAAGCAGAGCTCTGCTAGGAAGTCCCCCTAAGGGAGGGCTGAGCAAAGCTCAGCTGTAGTGGCTCTCCAGGAGAGGAACATGACTGCTATATCCTGTGGGGAGACCATCCCCCATCACACCAGGTATAGCTTGACTCTCCTGAACAGTTAGGATACCCTTCCATGTAGAGCTCTTGGCAGCTCCACGCCTGACTCTCTTAAACAGTCAGAATACCCTTCCCTGCTGAATCAGTTCCAGGCCTGACTTTCCTGAACAGTCAGAAAAACTTCCCTTCCAGGGCTGAGCTGTCTCTTTGCAGCTCCAGCCATCAGAGCTGTCCTAAGCAGCTCCAGGTGTCCAGGACACCTTCAGGGCACAGCTGTCCTGAGCAGCTCGAGGTGTCCGGGATACCTCGCTTTCCAAGGCTGAGCTGTCTCTTTTGCAGCTCCAGCTGTCAGAGCTGTCCTAAGCAGCTCAAGGTGTTGCCTGATTCACCAGGTAGTCAGGATATCTTTCCCCAGAGTTAGAAAACTCACATTTTGGTGCCAAAACTCGGGACTAAACCCACAGAGTTGCAACAAATTTACTTACAAGGAGCACACAAAGAAACCCTGTCTCAAAAAACCAAAACACCAAAACAAAACAAAAAATCCCTGAAGTAATGCTAGGGGTATGTCTCTTAGTTGCCAGTATCAAGTAACCAAAAAGAACTACTAAGTTTTATAAATGACATTTTTTAAATAGGCTAGAATACTTTGAGAATAGTGTTTTATAGGTTAAGTTCTCAGTGATAAATACCTTAAAGAACCATAAATAGAATCTTGGTCTAGAGTAGTGCTTCTCAGCCTTCCTAACGCTGCGACCCTTTAATACAGTTCCTCATGCTGTGCTGACCCCAACCATAAAGTTATTTCAATGATAGTTCATAACTGTAATTTTGTTACTGTTAGGAATTGTAATGTAAATATTTTTGGAGACAGAGGTTTGCCAAAGGGGTCATGACTCTGAAGCTGAGAACCACTGCTTTACAGTCTGCAGTTCCAGGAAATGAGAATATTCAGTTTCTTCATTTTCTCTCTTTTCTTTTCTTTTTTGGCTTTTTGAGCTCTGACTGTCCTGGAACTCATTTTGTAGACTAGGCTGGCCTTGAACTCATAGAGATCTACCTACCTCTACCTCCTGAGTGCTGGGATTAAAGGTGTGTGCCACCACTGCCTGGCCAGTTTCTTCATTTCTTACATATAAACATTTCCCAAATTTTATGCTTACCTTCGAAATTCTTTATAATGAAGTTTTTTTTCTCCTCTTTTCCCAAAGAAACGCACTTGAAGGGTTGTGTTAATTCCAGGCTCTTTCACTGTTGGTTCCTATAAAAAAGGACAAAAAGGAACCTGTGGGTGGGAGCTTGGGGAAATATCCACAAGTGTGTCCTGTAGGACAAGAAGGGAGTGAGGGCAGTTATTCCTGCTTATTCCTTGACTAACTCGCCCCCCCCCCCCCCCCCCCCCCCCCCCCCCCCCCCCCCGCTCCACTTGACATCCTTTTGTGATAAAAGCCCTATAGAAACTAGTACAGAAGGGACACGTCCTAACAGGACAAACCTACAGTCGAAATTATACTAAATGGGGGAGAGTAAAAAATCTAGAAAGAGTCCAGGGTGCTTACTCCTTGCCCTCATTCGGTACAGGTGGGATTACAGGTGTGTGTTACCACACCTGGATTAGTGGTGTAAGCTCCTTCTAATGCTCCTTGAAATGCTTTTGACACTGCTACCCAGAAGGCTCTCTGCAGCCCACACCTCACTGGTCTGGAGTCTAGTACCCTATGCTCCTGTCTTCAGTGCTGACTTCTCTCTGTATAGAGCGGCAGTTCAGTCAGGGGCTAACTCAAATAACTGAAGGACTGGAGGGAGCTCTTTGGCACCTCTTAGTAAAGGCCTGTGTCTGCCCAGGGCCCACAGACACCATTAGCTGTGAAAGAGTGTCTTTATTCTCTCTCCCACTGTTTGGCTATGAACTAGAAATTTTTATTTTTAGATTGAAATTTCCACAGTACTAAGGTTCTACATATCTAATGAAGTTAAGGGTATCTGCCTCAGGATTACAGAATCAGAGGACAAATCAATTAAATAGCCAAATGTCCTCAAATTTAAGCTCAGAAAAAACCTGTTTTATTCCCAAAACACTACATAGTATTTACTGGTGGGCTGGCTATTTAATAGTAGCTGACTATTATGACTGTGCCAGTAATCTGAGTAACATTCAACTTCATAAAAATATGATCCTTGTTAATTCTGTGGGGTGTAAGCTATGTGTTTAGACAGAACGTTACACTTCCACATTCCCTTCAGAAGGATAGCTTCTACTTCTGACATTTACCAAACATCAGACCAAATGTCAAAGCATGAATAAAAGTTTATGGTAGCTAAAATATTTTTATTAATTCTTTGAGAATTTCATACAATGTACTTTGATCATATTTACCAATTCTTCCTCTTAATTCCCTGGTAATTTTGTTTTTCTAGTTAGATTTAGATTAAGTTTTGCTCAATATAAAATTAAATGAAGTGACAGTCTCACATTACATCTGCTTTAAAGTCAAGTCCCTATTTATGAGTTGCTGATTTTACTTTACAAGTCTATTTTAACTTTTGTTCTTTTGAGACAGAGTTTCTTGTAGCAAGGATGACCTTGACCTCCTGGATATGGGATTGCACCTCTATGCTTTATTTATGTGGTGCTGGGGACTGACCTTGGATTCTGTGCATGCTCTGTAAGCCCCTACACTGAGCTGCATTTTCAGTCTCCTTGCCCATTTCCCCTTTTTATTTTTTTTTTATTTTTATTTTTTTTTGGTTTTTCGAGACAGGGTTTCTCTGCGTAGCTTTGCGCCTTTCCTGGAGCTCACTTGGTAGCCCAGGCTGGCCTCGAACTCACGGAGATCCGCCTGGCTCTGCCTCCCGAGTGCTGGGATTAAAGGCGTGCGCCACCACCGCCCGGCTTGCCCATTTCCCCTTTTTAAAGATCTGTCTACATGTATGTCTACACACCAGAAGAGGGCATTGGATCCTATAGGCTTAGAGTTATAGACAGTTGTGAGCTGCCATGTGGGTACTGGGAATTGAACTCAGGACCTCTGGAAGTGCAGCCAATGCTCTTAACTACTGAGCTATCTCTCAAGCCCCATCTTTTTAGGTTTTTTTTTTTTTTTTTTTTTTGAGTTAAGGATCTCACCATAGCCCAACTTGGCCTTGAAGTTGCTATTCAACCTCAGAGGTCCGGATTCTGAGATTCAAGAAGTATAGCACTGTTTTAACAATGTCAACATACTTTGCTTTAAGCAAACAAATATTTCTAAGTTTTCATTTGTTTCAAGGAGTTTCTCATTCATGTACTATACATATCTGCCTTTGTGTATGTGCGGTGCATGTGTGTAGATGCTCAAGGCTGACACAGGAGCTCCTTTGGATTACTCTCGACTGCACCGAGGCGGGGTCTAACTGGGCCCTGACTGTCAGAAGCCCTGTATCTGCAAAGCTGTGATCACCGTGGCCCCTCTACCTGCCCAATATGTACATGAGTTCAGTTCTTAAGTTTCCACACAAGTGCTTTAGACACTGGGCCATTTCCCCAGCTCTTAATTATTGTTATTTTTAACAGTGTTTGTGTGTGTGTGTAGGCCAGAGGACAACCCTAGGTGTTACCCTCAGGAATACATCCACTTCTTTGGAAACCAGGTCTCTCAATGGCCCAGAGCTCACCAACTAGGTTAGGTTAGATGAGCTTGCCAGGGAACCCCGAGGATACTGCCTGCCTTCCCAGTGTTGGGATTACAAGCGTGCACTACTAAATAGCTTTTACGTCGGTTCTAGGGATTGAGTTCATGTCCTTGGGCTTCCAATGCAAGTGCTTACCAACCGAGCAATTTCCCAGCCTAGACTAACTGAAGTAAAGTATTTTTTTCTTCCTAAAAAGACAACTTTGGCATCAGGATTAAATCCTCCTTGCTGTGCTGTCACTGGAGGGGAGGCTGTTTTGGTTTTCGACAGGGTCTCACTGTATCCCAGGCTGGTCTTGAACTCACAGAGCTCTGCCTCTGCCTCCCAAGTGCTGTGATACAGATGTGCTCCTGGCAGAGGCTGTGATTTTTAAAAATTTACACATTTTGAAATAGACATGTTGTAAAGATGGAGTGATTCAGAAGTTTAAGAAAATCTCACAGGATGGAGTTATATTTAATAGAACATTGTCAGTCAAAATGTATTGGTATACACCACTGGTGGAAATGAAAATTCATGTTCCACAGGACATACTGGTTAATATTCATCAAAGTCTGCTAACATTATCAACAGTCACACTCTTGATCCAGCAATTGAATTTGTGGTAAGTTATCCCTAAGATACAGTCACATGTCTATAAAACAGTGTAATCCTAAGATTATTCCTTGCAGCTTTATGAACTATGAAAGAGATATATGCCAAATACTCCCCAAAAGGAAATGGCAGCATAAATATTATAGCCATACAACAATGTACTTTGAAGCCACAGTGAGATGAGATATTGAGCTATGGGGACAGTTTCGTGTGTAGAGTACTGAACACACAGGGGTGGGGACTGAGTTCAGGTCCTCAGAACCTCTGTGCTGTCAGCACATCAGCACCAGTTCATGATCCCGGCACTCCTGTGCGGAGATGGGAGGTGCAGAGGCGAGAGTCCTAAACAAGGCAGGCAAGAACAGACATCGGAAGTTGGGGTCTGACTTCCACACCTGTGCTGTGGTACACACATACTCCCCACAAATTAAGAAAAATGTGTGTGTGTGGGATATACAGTATACTACTGCTTATATAAAAATGAAAATCAAACTGGGCATTTTGCACTAGGGAGGCTGATGGAAGATTGCTAGAAGTTCAAGGCCAGTATGAGCTACGGAGTGAGACTGTGTCTCCCAGAAAAACAAAAGAGAAAAAGCCCCTGGCCATACATAGGAACTTCACTTGCTGCCCAGGGCAGGGCCTGGCACTGGCTGGACAGCCCTGTGCATCTGCACATACCTGTGTAGCTTGGTAGTGTGTGGGCTAGACACCAAGTCCTTCCTGAATCCCACAATGACCTGGGATGACAGCTGTTACTGACTGTGTATTTGGAAGGGTCTCCTTACATACCTGGTATTCTGTCTCATTAGTCTTCACTGTCTTGAAGTCCTCTTGCTTACTTATGATCTTCTGCAGCTGAAAAGATTACAGAAATGAGCTCACAAGTCTGTCTAGTGAAGGTTTTGCAGTAACCTGGAAACATGCTGACCTGTCAGAGGGCATCTAGCTGTCTGCAGCTGCCTGCCTGCCATGTAAGACTGCAGGAGGAAGCAGGCAGACAGGCCACCCTGGCCACAGTTCTCTGCTTAGCTGCAGCTCCTCCAACAGACGAACTCTAACGGCTGCAGTCTGCAAGGCTTCTACCTCGTCTTCCTTCTGGGCCATTTTTATTCAGGCATGTTTCTTAAACCACTGATAGTTTACAGCCACATTTTCAGATCCATACCACATACAAGGCCATTCCTCTCTATATGCGCTTCCTTTTATTTATTTGTAACATGTTGAAATACTTCATTTTTCTTAATTATAAAACTAACAGTTTCTTAAAACGGAGTATGTTAAGTAACCTACCTACCTTTCAGGGTCATTTGTACCAGTCTTCATATGGAAAGCAAATTAAAAGAAAAGGATTAAAGAGAAATGAGATGTACACACAATCTCAAACTATGGTTTAAATCAACTAGGAAAAATCATCAGGACTTTTTAAAAAAAATGTGACTTGTTGGCAATTACAAACTGCTAACATTAAATCACAACTTATCAATCTAAGCTTGGCACCCCGTCCTATGTTTGGTTAGACAAACGGCTTGTGCTGGGTTCTCTAGAGCCCTCCCTCCCCTGTGCCCAACACCTCTGTGACTTCAGGGAAACAACTGAAAGCTTGACACTGGTTTCACCTTGTGCTGAAAACCCAATCTCGCACTCTGTATCCCTCCCTTTGCCCGACACCTTCACTTCTTTCACGCAGACATGAACATAATCCACTGGACTATCACGTAAGGAGCACTCAGCCTCAGGCAGGAGCACTCTGCCATGCTTGGCTCAGCTGGGCTTCACCTGGTGCTCCCTGCTTGGTTACTATGGACAATGCATCAGAGAAAATTACACACATTAAAACCCAGATCCTAGCCTTGCATACTTGAAAAGTTTTCTCTCTGTAGTCCGTCTGTCCTTCCTGAATGTCCATGGAGGCAATTCTGTTTTTTGCCTCTAGATTAACTTCATCTAGTTTTCAAGCGGAACTGAACACTGCACATTGTTCTCTCTGTGTGTGTGCCTTTTTTCTTTCAGCATGGTTGTCTTGAGATTAATCCCTGTGGCTTGTTTCTGTTGACTGCGGAGCTTTGTTGTACTGTCTGACCACAACACATTCAACTTATTCATCTGCCGGTGATCCATGGCTGCGGTTTTGGCTATCTATGAATCAAACTGTCATGGCCATTTTTGTAGAGCTCAATTTTATGGACGATGGTTTAATTTTTCCTTGGCTAGATATTTAACAGGGTAACTGCACTGTTTAACTTTATTTAAAACAAAACCAAACCAAACCTGTCAAATATTTCCAAAGCGAACTGAAGCCTTGGCTGTCCTGGAACTTGCTATGTAGACCAGGCCCCGATTCACAGAGATACACCTGCCTCTGCCTCCCAAGTGTGGGATTAAAGGCATGTGTGCCCAGCCATTAAATGAAGTTCTTTCTTCCTCCTCCTCTTTCTCCTTCCTCCCTCTTTTTTTTTTCCCCCTGAGACAGGGTTTCTATGTGTAGTCTTGGCTGTCCTGAAACTCTTTGTAGACCAGGCTGGCCTCGAACTCACAGATATCTGCCTGACTCTGCCTCCCAAGTGCTGGGATTAAAGGCGTGCGCCACCAAGCTGGGCCAATGAATTGAAGTTCTTCCACCCTCCCCACATTTGCTGTCATGGACCTCTTTAATTTCAGCTATTCTCTTGGGGTGAGGTATGTGTCACCATGGCTTGCATTTCCTTAATGTAAGGAACACTTACATTTCCACATGCTTATCTCTCATCCATGTACTTTTTTCTTGTAAAATGTCTATTATAGTCTTGCCATTAAAAAAAGAATTACTAGCCGGGCGGTGGTGGCGCACGCCTTTAATCCCAGCACTCGGGAGGCAGAGCCAGGCGGATCTCTGTGAGTTCGAGGCCAGCCTGGGCTACCAAGTGAGTTCCAGGAAAGGCGCAAAGCTACACAGAGAAACCCTGTCTCGAAAAAAACCAAAAAAAAAAAAAAGAATTACTAAAGCCGGGTGGTGCTGGTGCACGACTTTTATCTCAGCACTCAGGAGGCAGAGGCAGGTGGGTCTCAGTGAGTTCAAGGCCAGCCTAGTCTACAGGGCGAGATCCAGGATAGCCTGGACTACACAGAGAAACCCTGTCCCAAAAAACAAAACAAAATTTACTAAGCTATAAACTTCAATATATATATATATTCTATCCCAATCTCTACCATGTCTATTTTCTCACCATGTAGTCTAGGCTGGCCTTGGACTTGAGATCCTCTTGCCTCAGCCTCTAAAACATCAGTATTACGAGTATGTACTCATGTCTGGCCATAGTCATTTACCCTTGGTGTTTTCCAGCAGAAATTTTTCACTGTGGTGAAGACAAGTCATCATGGCTGTCTTTTGTGGATGCTGCCTTCAGTGCCCTGAGACTGCCTAGGGCTGGGGATGAAGTTCAGTGGTAGAGCATTTACCTAATATGTGAGAGACCTTGGGGCTGCATTTCCCCAAACTGTAAACAAAAATACAAGAACCATAACATACCACACCAAACCAAATTACTCGGCCTCCCCTAGATTCTGAAGATATTTGATGATACTTTCAAACCAGAGGTTTTATTTTTTATTTTCTTTTTATATATTCTTTGTCTATTTCACATCATGCATCTTGATCCCATTCATTTACCTGTCCCTTTGAATCTGCCTTCTGCCCTTGCAACCCCCCATCCCAAATAAAATAAAATTTAAGAAAAAAAATATCTTGTCATGGAAGCTGCAGTGTGACACGGTGAGTCATGAAGTAAACCCCTTGTCCATATATCTTTACTTGCAAGTGTTCATTGCAAAGTCATTGGTCTGGTTCCAGGCCTCTGATTTCTGCCACCCTACTGATGCTGGTCCCTCACTGGGACTCCTCTTGGATATCCTGTTGTCCTGTGTCATGGAGATCCTGAAGCTTTGGGTCTGCAGGACTGGCTCCTTCATGTGCTCCTGCAGATTATGGATGGGGTGGGCCAACTCAGAGCTCTGGTTCTGTCAATCCAGAAGTTTATTTTTGTGTATGGCTAATTTTCCTTTCATATATCTCAATTATTCTAGCACAATTTGTCAATTAAAAAATTCTTTCCCTATTTACTGACTTGGTGCCTTTACTGAAAACCAAGTGAGCACAAAGTATGAACTTTGTCATTTTCTACTGACCTCCACGTCAGTACCGCAGAGCCACAGAGCCCTGTCTGAGTCTGTCAGCTGCTGCCTCAGCCAGATTTGCTTCTGTTTCTCAAGACTCATGTCTCGGCCTTCTATTTTGACATGTACACTTAATTCTTCTTCTTATTTTATTTATTTATTTATATTTTTAAAATAACAATTTATTAAGAGTTATTTATTTTATGCATATGGAGCTCTATCTGCATGTACACCTGCACGCCAGAAGAGGGCATCAGATTTCATTATAGGTGGCTGTCACCCACCATGTGGTTGCTGGAAATCGAACTCAGGACCTTTTGAAGAGCTGCCAATGCTCTTAACCACTGAGTCATCTCTTCAGCCCTATTTTTTATTTTTTTTTGAGACAAGGTTTCTCTGTGTAGCTTTGGAGCCTATTCTGGAACTTGCTCTGTAGACCAGGCTGGCCTCGAACTCACCGTCCAGCTTAATTATTTTTAACTTTTTAAACTAAGCCTTCTATTGCAGACCTGGGGATGAGAACCCAGAGCTTTGTACATGCTAGGTAACCCACATGTTTCAAAACCACTTTGCCAGCGTCTATAAAAACACCTGCTTTTCACTTGCTTGGGAAGTTGAGTCATCCGACAAGCTCGGGGAGGCAACAGCTCTGCTTACTTTCGCCTCCGATGTTCACACCAGCAACTGGGCAACACTTGCTTTGCTTGAAGACTGATTTACTTTTGGAGAGTTCTGCCTGTATGTATGTGTGTGTACCACATAGCTGCCTGGTGCCCATGAGGTCAGAAGGAGTAACTGGATCTTCTGGAACTGGAGTTATGGATGGTTGTGAACCATTACCTGAGTGCTGCAAGCTGAACCTGGGTCCTCTGCAAGAGCCACAAGTGCTCCTAGGGCTGAGTCATCTTTTCAGGTCACTGAAGCAACACTTGAAGTTTCAGTGCAAGTTTTCTGTTAACTTACTTGTAACTACGTTCTGTTAGTTCATATTGTCCTAAGTAGAGCTGACTGTAGCTTTACTTTCCAAACATTTCTACCCTAGGAACAGATTTCACTTCTGCACACTGGTTCATTTTAAACGCGCTTGTTCGAGTGGGCTGTACGTCTGTTGTTGGTTCCTCGTGTTAGCTGGAGAGAAGCCACATTTGACTCATTCCATTCCAACCTTTTCACCTCTGTTTTATTTTTTCTTCTTGAATGGCTGCTATCACTGGACTGTCTATCAAAACATTGAACATAAGAGTTAAAAACAAACTTCTCTGCCTTGATCCTGATGCGGTATGGAAGACATCCAGGATTTCCCACCCTTCAAGCAACATACTGGGTTTGCTTTTTAGTTTCTTGGTGCTGGGGACCGAACTCAGGGTCTGATGCAATTTAGCATGTGAGCTACTGAGTTATCCCCCAGACCCTGTAAGCTTTGGTAAATGCTCCTTATCAGAACGAAGACACTGTTTTCCTACGTCACTGACTTTTCACAACGACTCATTTGGTTAAGTGCCTTGCATATACTGATATGATTAGCTGGGCATGATGGTGCTTGCAGACCTGCAGAACTTGGAGGTGGAGGTAGGAGAATCAGAAGTTCATGGCCAGCCTGGGACGGCACGTGCATACATGGCCTCTCTGCTGTCACTCTGTCAGGATGGTGGCCTGCACCCACTGAGTTCTTCCTGTCGAGCTCACGGTGTTTCTATCTGGACCTC